TGCTGGAAAAAATATTTTCAATTGCAGGGGTCGGTTACAAGCATTTTTGGTTATTAGACACACCCTCGATTTCCTGCCCACTTTCGTGAAAAAAAATAGAGAAGGTGTGAAATTATTCGAGAAAATTAAAAAATTGCAAATCGTTGTGGAAAAATTATTTTCGGTTGTAGGGTTCGATTACAGTCATTTTTGGTGAATAGACATACCCCCGAAATCTTGCGCATTTTCGAGAAAAAAATTCAGTAATGGCGGCACTTTAAACGTTAATAACTTTTTAACGAAGCTTCCATCAACAAATTGGTGTTCTTGATTTTCGTCTTATTTTGGCCTCTACTATCGCTCATTAAAATTTTTGCTAGAGGTGGCCGAACACCCTGTATATTTTTTTTAAACAATTACTAAGCAAGGGTTAATTTAGAATATTATACCATAACAGAAATTGTTCCAATATACCAAATTCCTATTGCTTCGAATCAGCTTATCAATATTAATATTTTAATTGATTTGAAACAAAATACAAAAATACTGTTTCAAATTGTCGTTTCATATTTTTTAGAAAAAAAAAAAAAAAAAAAAAAAAAATTAAAAATAGAAATTAATCCTGCTGTGAAAACTCATTGCACGGTGACCGAACGCTTCCAATTGCGATTACAGTGATGAAAACACTGTCTAAAATACTAAAAATATGTAAAATATTAAAATTGTTTTTATTTAAATAGAATTTGAATCTCGTTTTTCTAAAAATAACTAAACCGATCGTGGAACGATATTGGTAAACATAAATAGAAAATGGTGATTCCTATACACGGAAGAATTAATTCTAGAGGAGATTACGCTTCTAGCGGCAGGTGGTATTCGAAATAGAGGAGGAGACGGGAGGACGAGTATAAAGAACGAACCCTTTCGATCCGACAACGAATAACCCTGCGCGTATCTTCGTCCTTCCCCCACCGCAGGTATGGCCATACATGGCACCAGCCGCACTTGACCTATATCTTATTATGCTGTCGGCGTCCGGATGCGATGCGAAACGTGAATAAGCCTGGCGGGTCTCTTCGAGGTTGCTGGAGGTTCACCACCACCCATAAAGAAATCCTTCCTTCCTGTAACAGCCCGTCTCCGACGTCTCAGCTTCCGCGAGGGACCGCGCACTAGGCCCAAGTAGCCAAACAGCTCGCGTCGATTTTTAGTTTCTTAATTATATTTAATTATTGTTACATCGATCCTTAACGAAAATCATTTCTGCTCGTCAGAGTCGACCACTCTCGCTTCTACCACGTCCCCATGGAACACACAGCGTATTTTTTATGGTGAGTTCGTTACTTAAGCGTCACTTCATCCTCTTCTCTGATGTATTCAATTTTTTTCTGGTTTTGCACTCAAGGGTACACCAAGCGAATTATATTAATTGCATTCATATTCTTATTTCTTAATTCAGTTAAAAATGTAACATTTTAATTTGTGTCTTTTCTTTTTTTTTATGAAATTCTTCTATTTCTTAATTCAGTTAAAAATGTAACAATAACGTCTTAACTTGTGTCTTTTCTTTTTATTATGAAATTCTTGTAAAGAGGAAGAATTGTTACACCCATTTCTTAATTTAGTTAAAAATATAACAATAACGTCTTAACTTGTGTCTTTTTTTTTTTTATGAACTTCTTGTAAGGGGGAACAATTGTTACACGTATTTCTTAATTCAGTTAATAACGATAACGTTTTAGCTCGTGTCTTTTTCTTTTTTTATGAACTTCTTCGATTGTTGCACGTGTTCCGAGTAAACGTGAATGTTAAACGCGATCATAACATTTTATACTTGCTACGGAGTGGCTGGCATCCTTGAACAAAAGACAGTAATTCTTTTTACGCAGTCGGGGATCCTGCTTCTACGCGAAACATTGCAGCCTTGAATGGGGAAAACCATTATTTTGCTTTTTCTCGAACGCACATGGAATAGAAACTGCTCCACGATTGTTTTTGCGTATATTTCAGGTGAAAATATTTTTTAAATATTAATGAACAAATAGTCTTTCACTGTCGTTTAGTTAGAAATTGAAACAAAATTAATGTGATAAAAAAAAATGTACTTTAGCCGGGCGCGAACGCGCGTGAAAAAAGTTTGCAGCAGTCTAACAGTCAAGCATCTTACTTACTGCACCATCGAACCTCTTGAAAATACCGTTGATACTTATCAATATATCGCGCATAGCAATTTCTATTTCGTGACTTATTTTTGCTTTTCTTTTTGTCTACACTGTTCTGCTCAACATAGAAATGTTTAAAACCATACGATATAGTTATCTATTAAAGAGAATACAAAAATTCAAAGTATAAGATGCTTTTTCACGCGAGAAACGTCGAAAAAATCGGTTTTTCATTTTTCCTACTACGGCGCACCCTACCAAAAAATCAGAAAAAATTCAGGGAGATAGCCAATGACAATACGCATTTACGGTAATTATAGAAATCTAGTGTCTCGAAAGCTTCGATACGAAATCGGTATTTTTCTGCGTTTTTAATTTTTCACGCCCAGGATTTGGAATCGAAAAATCGGAAAAAATTCAGGGAGATAGCCAATGACAATACGCATTTACGGTAATTATAGAAATCTAGTGTCTCGAAAGCTTCGATACGAAATCGGTATTTTTCTGCGTTTTTAATTTTTCACGCCCAGGATTTGGAATCGAAAAATCGGAAAAAATTCAGGGAGATAGCCAATGACAATACGCATTTACGGTAATTATAGAAATCTAGTGTCTCGAAAGCTTCGATACGAAATCGGTATTTTTCTGCGTTTTTAATTTATCACGCCCAGGATTTGGAATCGAAAAATCGGAAAAAATTCAGGGAGATAGCCAATGACAATACGCATTTACGGTAATTATAGAAATCTAGTGTCTCGAAAGCTTCGATACGAAATCGGTATTTTTCTGCGTTTTTAATTTTTCACGCCCAGGATTTGGAATCGAAAAATCGGAAAAAATTCAGGGACATAGCCAATGACAATACGCATTTACGGTAATTATAGAAATCTAGTGTCTCGAAAGCTTCGATACGAAATCGGTATTTTTCTGCGTTTTTAATTTTTCACGCCCAGGATTTGGAATCGAAAAATCGGAAAAAATTCAGGGAGATAGCCAATGACAATACGCATTTACGGTAATTATAGAAATCTAGTGTCTCGAAAGCTTCGATACGAAATCGGTATTTTTCTGCGTTTTTAATTTTTCACGCCCAGGATTTGGAATCGAAAAATCGGAAAAAATTCAGGGAGATAGCCAATGACAATACGCATTTACGGTAATTATAGAAATCTAGTGTCTCGAAAGCTTCGATACGAAATCGGTATTATTCTGCGTTTTTAATTTATCACGCCCAGGATTTGGAATCGAAAAATCGGAAAAAATTCAGGGAGATAGCCAATGACAATACGCATTTACGGTAATTATAGAAATCTAGTGTCTCGAAAGCTTCGCTACGAAATCGGTATTTTTCTGCGTTTTTAATTTTTCACGGCCAGGATTTGGAATCGAAAAATCGGAAAAAATTCAGGGAGATAGCCAATGACAATACGCATTTACGGTAATTATAGAAATCTAGTGTCTCGAAAGCTTCGATACGAAATCGGTATTTTTCTGCGTTTTTAATTTTTCACGCCCAGGATTTGGAATCGAAAAATCGGAAAAAATTCAGGGAGATAGCCAATGACAATACGCATTTACGGTAATTATAGAAATCTAGTGTCTCGAAAGCTTCGATACGAAATCGGTATTATTCTGCGTTTTTAATTTTTCACGCCCAGGATTTGGAATCGAAAAATCGGAAAAAATTCAGGGAGATAGCCAATGACAATACGCATTTACGGTAATTATAGAAATCTAGTGTCTCGAAAGCTTCGATACGAAATCGGTATTTTTCTGCGTTTTTAATTTTTCACGCCCAGGATTTGGAATCGAAAAATCGGAAAAAATTCAGGGAGATAGCCAATGACAATACGCATTTACGGTAATTATAGAAATCTAGTGTCTCGAAAGCTTCGATACGAAATCGGTATTATTCTGCGTTTTTAATTTATCACGCCCAGGATTTGGAATCGAAAAATCGGAAAAAATTCAGGGACATAGCCAATGACAATACGCATTTACGGTAATTATAGAAATCTAGTGTCTCGAAAGCTTCGATACGAAATCGGTATTATTCTGCGTTTTTAATTTTTCACGCCTAGGATTTGGAATCGAAAAATCGGAAAAAATTCAGGGAGATAGCCAATGATAATACGCATTTACGGTAATTATAGAAATCTAGTGTCTCGAAAGCTTCGATACGAAATCGGTATTATTCTGCGTTTTTAATTTTTCACGCCCAGGATTTGGAATCGAAAAATCGGAAAAAATTCAGGGAGATAGCCAATGACAATACGCATATACGGTAATTATAGAAATCTAGTGTCTCGAAAGCTTCGATACGAAATCGGTATTATTCTGCGTTTTTAATTTTTCACGCCCAGGATTTGGAATCGAAAAATCGGAAAAAATTCAGGGAGATAGCCAATGACAATACGCATTTACGGTAATTATAGAAATCTAGTGTCTCGAAAGCTTCGATACGAAATCGGTATTTTTCTGTGTTTTTTTGCGTTTTCAATTTTTCACACCTAGGATTTCGAATCGAAAAATCGAAAAAAATTCTCAAACACGTATCTCGATAACCACAATGCGCCAGATTTTTTTCATAATTTTTCTACTCGATTAAATAGGGGAAATAGGCAGAAATTCGTTAATCCGAATTTTCTCAATAACTACCCTTCCAAACAAGATAGAGGGTTAAAATTTGGCACATAACGTTTTTTCTTGATGCTCTATCGATGGATCCATCGTATGTCACATTTCGTTCAAGGACATCTTAACTTGAGAATTCATTTTTCTATTATAATAATGGTAAGTTCTGTCACCAATATATGACGTGGCAGTCAAAGTATTAAAAACGCGTTCAGTTCAATGAATCGGTGACACTCGATCCGTATACTCGCCCCATCAACCCTTCTCGTAATACTTACGTTTACTTTCTCAAGGTTCCGTTCAAGTGCCTTTCGAGCGATTTCTATCTTCCCGGTGTCTCACTCTTGACCGGTATTTAGGAAGGTCACGACCTCAGGGGTTTGTCGCGAGATACGCGACCACGCATGCGCGACCCGCGGGCGAAAGTATTTAAAGAGGTGGTACGCGTCGTCGGGAAGGCCACTCTTCCCCGGACTGTCACGAATCGCGCAACTACCCCCCCCCACTCTCCTCCCCCCCTTCCGAGGCAAACGAGCACGCGTTCCCGGACGGAGAGGCGGAAAGATCGGCTCTTTTGGTCCCTTCTTGCCATTCCCCCCCCTTTTCTGCGATTGCCTTTACCTCGTAGTCCCCTTCTTTAGGATCACTCGTCCTCCGCGTCTCCCCCCCCCCCCCCCCGAAGATCGTCGGTGTGACATTGGTTCACTTAATAAACCCACCGAACTGTCTTCGCAGATTCGATTTGGCGACGTCGAACGCGTCGGACCGGTTACAACACAGAAGAAATCATCGTCGTCGAACGACTGGACTTTTGGATAATCGAGGACTCGTCTGACACTTCGGTTTGATAAACTATCTTCTGAAAAAATAGGATGTCCGTAGGAGCTGAAAGTGTTTCTTAGAGGAGGCATTGCGGTTCGGTGTTTCGAATGGATTGATTCGTGTTTTCGTAGGTCGTCCAATCCGTTAACTCTTGTGCGAGATTCAATACGTGTAAATATGGAGGAGACGGACGTTCAGCAGGAGTCTAGAGACAAAGTAGGCAGTTTGATCTTTTCACCGCCGCCGATGAAGAAGTCTGACACGAGGGATAGTATTTCTTCCGTGGACAGCGACGTGAGCCTCTCCTTTGACCGGAGAGGCTCCAAGGGCGAGGAGGCTGACCTCTCGGACAGTGGTAGCTCTGACAATGAGAGGAAGTTGGGTAATGCAGCGAAAGCACCAGGTTCTGATCCAGATTCCGGGGCAGACTCGACGGGGAGCGTTCAGAACGCGTCGAAAGATGAGAAGCAAGAACCACCAGTCGATCAGTCGAACTTCGTTCCACCTAGCGACGATTTGGCGGAGAAGATATGTGCCCAAGTCGAGTTCTACTTCTCCGATGAAAACATCGTGAAGGATGCGTTCTTGCTCAAACACGTGAAGAGGAACAAGGAAGGATACGTGTCCCTGAAGCTCATCTCGAGCTTCAAGAGGGTGAAACACCTCAGCAGAGACTGGAGGGTGGTTGGTGTTGCGTTGAGCAAGTCGAAGAAGTTACAAGTGAATCCCCTGGGTACCAAACTACGCAGGCTCGATCCTCTGCCGCCTTTCGATCAGACCACTCCCTCGAGAACAATTCTGGCTGCGAGACTTCCGGTGGACAAACTGTCGGTGGAGTCTGTGGCGGAAATCTTTCGACCATGCGGGGATATCGCTCTTATCAGAGTTCTTCGACCTGGCCATCCCGCACCAGCTGAGGTAATTATTATCGTTTCGCAAGAGTATAGTAGTCCGAGTTGAAAATAGGAGAATCGAAGCCCTCAAATTACCCTTGAAACAAATTACCAATGTTTTAAGACTTTAAATTGAACGCTATGTTCTAAGTATACTAACGCCTCAAAGTTGTTTTTCTTTCAAATGATACTTTTCGTTATGTTGTTAATTACTCGACCAATCTTTCGAATACGTAACAGAAAAAATACTCACATTACGAATGGAGCCACCGGAGCCATAAAATGTTGAATATTTCCATGTTTGAACTCGAAGGACAGGAACGAGGCTGAAAAATTAAATATTTCTAATTTAAAATGATGCCATTTACTTAGTGCTTTTATTCTTATCAAGTTTTGAATGAAAAGATAGCAAAAACTTGTTTTGGAAAGATAATATACATGTTATTAAACTTCGTTAGCCAACGTATACGTTTACTAACTTTCGGTTTCATTTCGTTATCGATATCCCATTATTATTCTTCGTAAAGAAATGACACGAGACTTTTTTTATGAAAAGTGTATGTCAATTAAATTATTACTTAACCTATCGATGTTATACTTTAAAAATTACATAGAGAAAACGTTCAAAAATAACCTCCAAATAGACGTATCAAAAAGGAAGCCCTCGTTTCTCTTAATTCGCGTAAAGATTCGAAACATTTTATCAATAATATATGTCTCTTACTATAATTAAGCATACACTTACCACGAAGAGCTTTAATAGTTGCAATCACACAAATTGTGTAACCTTTTGATCACCAGGTGCGACAAGCAATTGCTAAAAGACCAGAGCTGGCTGCCAGCGACGAATGCGCAATGGTAGAGTTCACAGATTCTGCGTCAGCTCGTGTCGCTTTACAAATGACCACGGGCGACGCGAAGATATTCGAGCTGCAACAGACCGGCGAGAAGAAGAAGAAACAACAACCGGCGAAGAAGAGTACGGTAACGAGACTGGCCAAAGAGGAGATTTACAATTCATCGAGCTGCGCCAGCGGATCTGAGGCTGAAGACGGAATAGCCAGACACAAGAAACCTGTTCATGGTTATTCGATGTATCACGCTTACCCGGGTCACCCCTTTCAAGGTATAATTAAACACTATTTTAAAAATCTATTTGAAATATGCTATTTGAGACAAGTTTTTGGGGCACACCTCCGATTTTTCTTATACTCTGAACTCTAGAGGCCAAAATAGTACGAAAATGAAGAATATCAATTTCTTTATGGATGCTTAGTTAAAAAGTTATTAACGTTTAAAGTTTTTACCCTGGTGGATTTTTTTTTCGAAAATGCGCGGGATTTCGAGGTTATGTCCGGTCACCAATAATAATTGCAATTGACCCCTGTAACTATATATAATTTTTTCAGGACGATTTGAAATTTTTTAATTTTCTCGAAAAACTTCGCGTCTCGAATTTTTTTCTCGAAAATGCGCGGAATTTCGAGGTTATGTCTGTTCATCAAAAATAATTTCAATTGACCCCCGTGATCAAAAATATTTTTTCCGTGAATGATTTGAAATTATTTAGTAGCTTTTTAACGAAGTCAAGAAATTGATATTTTTGATTTTACAATGTTTGCAGGACCTCCTTCGCCAGATGCATGGCTGCCTCGACGATTGTCCTCCTGTTCCGTGTCGGGCTCGGAGAATGGCTTCATTCTTCGTCGTCTGTCCTCCTGTTCCGGTTCCGGTTCGGAGACAGGAAACTACGGCAGACGTTATTCCGCCTGTTCGTCTGGCTCCGAGACCGGTTACTGCCATCCAGTGTATCCGCCAAGTTACTATCACCAGGAGAATCGTCGTTTCTCTTGCTGTTCGAACTCGAGCTCGGAGTGCAACGTCGCCTGTTACCACTCCGGTCGACGCGGATCCGCGGACTACGGGCCCTTCTTGAGAAGATTGTCCGCCTGCAGTCGTGATTCCGGTTTCGACGGTGGCGCCAGGAGACTCTCGTTCTGTTCCCCTGGCGGCGAACAGGGGAACTTCTGTCGACCGAGGAGCAACAGTGGCGTCGCTTTAACGCATCTGCCTGAGAACGTGACGAGAATGCCAGCCGGGCCGGACGGCACGCGTGGATTCGGTCGAAAAATTAACACCATCCCGCCAACCATGGAACCCACATGCTAAACTATCGCTAAGACTTTTTAACGACAGACAGACATAGTGACGTTTCGTGTAGGGTAATATACCTCGTGTTGAAATTAATTTTGTCATGGTTAAAACAACGCCATCTCCGCCAGTTTCTGGAACTATTCGGAGCCTAAGTGTTATTAACACTGCAACGCGCGCTGACGATGCCTCGGGTCACTGATAAGCTACCCAAGCAGAAACGTAAAAGTGTGTGCGCGTGGGGGCGCTGTTGACGTGAGATGGAACAGGGTCAACTGGTCGACTCGTCGGTAAGGTAGATTGGCAGATCCCTACCAGTCCCTCTGTTGGTAAAAACGGGAAGCTATGGACTAATCCCGATCGAATCTCATTACAACAGATACGCCTGTGAAAAACAATAATTATTTGATACAAATAGGAAAGTTGGGACGAATATGCCTAAAACTACAATTTGCTCGAGTTGCACCACAAAATGAACAAAATGGCGTTGGTTTCGTAAATGATTTCGATCTCAACGTTTGAAAGTTTAAATTCATATTGTTAAATATAAAAAAAGATCATAGAAATGACGGGCATTCAAAAGAAAACATGCCTTTTATATTTATTAGTACGAGGTTTATACATAAAACGATGCAAATAATTTAATAATTCTCTAATTGTGATAAGCGCCGGTTTTGCGACCAAACTTTACGAAAATTATTACTCCCCGTTTATATTAAGTATAAGTGTTGTATACAAGAATTTTCGATCATGAAGTACTGTGATAATAATGTACAGATTTCGAAATACTATAAGTAGAACATAACCGTATTGAGCAAACGTTAGTTCGTAAGATGTTTCGCGATATTCGGCCAACGATGATCGCGAAACATTGTAAAGAAATAAATTGGTACGTTGCGTTAAGATTTCGCCTTGGTTCATCGCTATCCCCCTCCATTTTACAGAAACATCAACTCTTTCAGTTTCATTTATATCTGTTATTAACACTTTACCGACCGATAGCCTATTAATCGACTGTTTTACCGACCAACGCTTACCGACCGATAGCGTATTAATCAACTTCTTTACCGACCAACGCTTACCGACCGATAGCGTATTGATCAACTTCTTTACCGACCAACGACATATTTTCGACTAAAAGTAACCGTGCGAAATATAGCACGTGTATGCGCATTTACTACAGTTACAACCACTGATGTAACTGAACTTAATCACGTTGCTTTATATATTCGTTAAACTTTTAAATATTATTTAATGTTGATTTTTTATAGGAATATATTTTAAAAATTGTGCATACCGATGGGACGGAATCAGTTGCACAACGACGATGATTACAAAATTGGATAAGTAGCACGAATATCACGGCCCCCCTTCACCCCCCCTCGCCCTCCGCCCTCTCGCATTGTGCTACGTGGACCTCGAGAATCGTTGCACGAGTAACCTAGTATATACTTATATGATCGACGTAAAATGGTGAGGTTAGGATGTGTTTACTTGTCAGATCTCGCGAAACACGGAACGAAACAGGAAAGGAACGTAAACGTAACAGGGATGTGAACAGGTAAAGGTGAACGATCTTAAAAAAGACATAATGTTTTTCCCGATCGGATGGCCACGGGTTCTGAACACGACTGAACCGGAGGGGATCACTGCGGTTGTTTGCAACAGGGACAAAATACTATTCGCTGTATTGACGAACGACGCTCTCACCATCTGGTATTGCAAGGCATGTGTTACAAACGTAACATTACAACTTTACGATCAATATATTTGAAGGATAAAACTCTCCGCTCATTATCAACCGTTAAAAATATTTACTCATTTATGAACTTTAAATACAGCGAACAAAAATACCATTCGGTTGTCAATTTTACTTTGTCTATATTGTTACTTTGTAACGTAACTACTTTCTCAAGATCCTCGATACTAAAATCCTGTACGCACGTACTTTTCCATATAAGCATTTATCGTTTGTAATTGTCAATCGTTTTTTATATAATACCACAAATAAAACTCGCACCGTCGTTGTAAGATTCTTCGAGACTCGAGACACGCTCGTACCGTTCAAGTTTGCGTCGGTGTTAATTTAACAGCGACGCAACTAAAATTGTCATTTTAAATAATTCTACATAAAAAAAACTCACGCTGTTGTACACTGTAATTGAAAAGACTAAGATTCTTGGAGACTCGAGAACACTTTCGTGCTGTTCAAGTTTGCGTCGCTGTTAATTTATAAACATCGCTAAGAGCGAGAGTTTACACTTTCCTTAAATATTTCTTTGACGGAGCTCTTACAACCCTCGTCGTACACTACAAATATCAATACACGAGTGACTGTAACGGAACACATTTACTTTCCAGCCATGCGTGCCCATTATACTGATCAAAAGAACTCCAGATTCTTTAAGGAAACATGGCGACAACAGTCTGGTGCAATGGAGACCAGACTCCAGCATGTTGGTCATAGCGGTATGAAATTACAATAAATTAAATTGAAACATACAGCAAATTACTGTAACCTAAAACTTTTCAGACGTCGGATAGCTATCTCTTATTTTATCGATTATCTGACACTAGTCCGGAAGGAAGAGGTCTCTACGAACAGAGAGACTCTCCGGTTACCAGTTTAAGACGAGACAGCGCTGAACTTTTTATCAAAGAAGTTATTCCTTCCTTAGTTCTGACATTCGTAAGTATAGTAATAGGTTATCCTTACGAAATTGCGAATTTTGTGTATCTTTTCAGGAGAAATCAGCCTGGATAGACGGTGGTATCAGTTCGTTGGTTTGTATACGTGATGAGCTCATGGTAGCTACAAAGACCAGTCACATAATACGCCACAAATGGGACGGAACTGTGAATCGAGATTACTCTCTCGATTTAAGGAGAATACCATTCAGCGTGGATCAACAAATATCTACCGTGGCTATACCTCTTACGGAGAACAATGTATACGTCACTGACATCGAGTACTCCCCATTGGTCGGTGGATTCGCAATTGTTCTCAACACTGGCAAAGCAGCGTTCCTGACTGCGCAGTCACTGAAATTCGATCCTAATGTACGTTTATTAAATCAAATAAATTTATAAGAAATAGTGATGTATTATCTTTTCCAGCAAGTACAAGGAATTTGGGCCAGAGATGTTGACGATGCTACTTGTGCGGCTGTAAATCACAAATATCGTCTCATAGCGATCGGAAGGCAAAAGTATATAAGTTTTCTGTTATATGAAAATGTGTACTTATGTAAATTGTTAATATCCTTTTGTTTAACAGTTCTGAAGGCGTAGTGTGTTATGTGGATGAAACAACAGGCGGGCTGGAAATGTCCCATACGTTGAGCTTGTCCTCGAAAGACTATCCAGGAAGACCGGGGCGCGTAAGGTGTTTGAGGTGGACCCCTGACAGTTGTGCCATTGCGTTAGCTTGGGAAGGTGGTGGCCTAGCAGTGTGGAGCACATTTGGTGCTCTGTTACTCTGCAGTCTAAAATGGGATTACGGTTTAAGGGTAGACTTGACCCACGATAATCCTTTGCACATTCATACAATGGTAAATACATCGATCTTACCTAATAGTATCAATTTCAGTTTCTAATCTTATATGTTACAGGAATGGTCCGCTGAAGGTTATCAGCTATGGATGTTAAGAGAATCTCCAGGGCCATCTCTGACCGAAGAGAATGGAAACGATACCAACACGAAACGTTCTTTGATACAGTTAGATTTTGTAAAAAGCCCCTTGACGATCAATCCTTGCATGGTAATATCGAAGACGTTTAAAAATCTAAACATTTATCTAACGATACTTTGATACGCAGGGCCATCATGGACATTTGTATTTACAAGGTGAAGATAGATTGTATTTAAATCTTGGCGGTGGAGTTTCTACGAACACCTCAACCTTTCATATCAGCAGCGAAATTCCAAACGATTCCATAACGCAAACACTTGTGGGTTGCAAGCAATGGCTAGTCGTTCCTATTCCTACTGCGTACAGTGGTTCCAACTGGCCGATAAGAGTATGTAAATGTATTCAGATCCGACGGAAAAGAAAACTATATTTTTAAACGATCGTTTGTTTCAGTACACCGCTATAGATAACGAAGGTATGAGCATAGCTGTAGCCGGAAGGACAGGATTGGCTCATTACTCTTTGCCTTCGCGCAAATGGAAACTTTTTGGCAACGAGACCCAAGAGCGTGATTTCATTGTGACCGGAGGGCTATTGTGGCATCAAGGTTTTTTAATAGCTAGCAGTTATTCGATATTAGACGATAAGGATGAGGTTAGAATATATCCGCGCGACACACGTTTGGACAACAGTTACGTTAGAACTGTTAGAATGCCATCGCAGGTGTTGTTACTCAATACGTTGAAAGACAGACTTCTAACATTCTGTGCGAACGCACAGATTAGCATTTACGATATGGTATTAGAGAGCAATAATGGTACGTGCTTGAATTTAATCATTTTCTGAATTGGTGGACTCTTAAAAAAACATTGATATTTCAGATGCTGGAAGTATAGAATTAGTAAGATTGCAGACCGTAGATGTTAGTGGACTTTGTGTTCATCCTGCCTGCGTTGTGAGTGCCACTTTGACTACTATACGCGCGGAGACGGCTGGGAGTCATCCGCATCCTGAGAGTCTTTTGTTGAATGTGTCTGGACGCCTTCTTATGGTTCAAAGAGAACACTGTACTGATAATCCAGAAGTTGTACGTTGACGATATATTCCTGACGAGTCGTTAATTTCTTTGTAATATTTATATGCATTTTGCAGCTGTTTACGTGTAGCGCTCCGACAGTATTAGCTTCTTACGTAGAAAACGTGTGGGTACCATGGAGATCGAAGAGAGACAAGCCACACTTGACGGAAGCACTGTGGTTGTTTTGTGGGGCCCATGGGATGCGTGTCTGGCTGCCATTGTTCCCACGGAATCATCAAGAAAAGGCGCACACGTTCATGAGCAAAAGGATAATGTTGCCTTTTCACTTGCGCATTTATCCTTTGGCTATACTCTTCGAAGACGCTATTTTATTGGGAGCAGAAAATGATACGGTCCTTTTTACTTCGGACACGAACTCTCCATTTTCGTTGCCTTTTAGTTTGTTAGAACTTACAGTACGTATCATTAATACACCTTTCGTTAATAAATTCAAAATTGGTAAATGTTATCTTGATTTCAGAGTCAAGTTTATCTTCACCAAATATTACGACAACTAATACACCGTAATTTGGGGTACCATGCTTGGGAGATTGCTCGTTCGTGTTCTTCGCTGCCATACTTTCCACATTCGTTGGAGCTTTTGCTTCATGAGGTACTCGAAGAAGAAGCAACCAGCAAAGAACCAATCCCGGATGCTCAGTTGCCTTCCGTGGTGGAGTTCATCAGAGAATTTCCTGGAGTGTGGGCTAGAGCAGTTGTGCAGTGCGCTAGAAAAACAGAAATAGCACTCTGGCCTTATTTATTTTCCGTTGCTGGGTCACCTAAGAAGCTGCTGCAAGATTGTCTGCAGCGTCAGCAACTGGACACTGCTGCTAGCTATCTGATAATCTTACAGAACCTGGAACCATCGACTGTCAGTCGACAACATGCTACTTTGTTGTTAGACGCTGCTCTGGAACAGGGCAGATGGGAACTTTCAAAAGACCTCGTTCGATTTCTCAGAGCAATTGGTAATGATACAGAATTAAATCTATATGTTACCGTGAATGACCGAAATTGGAGAATGTCAACTTTCACCGGTGAATGTCAACAGATACCAAATACGTCGGTGAAAGATCGAATATTTCATTACATTGTTGTACATTCGGACCCTCTCCGGTGTGTGTCGACAATCACAGATATGCTCTGCTGGACGTCCAAAACAGAAGAGTCAAAAAACAAGCGACTGGCTCTCTCCTGCCAAATCCTTTGTTCTGCTAGGAGTCGATCAGCTTTGTCAGTCTTATGCAAGCTTTGATAACGCGAGCAACGTTTTCTTAATTTTTTTATCCGATACCCTAATTTATACTAAATGGATACTGCAGTAAATCGTGATCTTTTTCTAACCCAGACCTAACCCACGTTATCAGCGATGAATTGGTCTGGGTTAGGTCTGGTATAAATCTGAATTAAGTCTGGGTTAGGTCTGGGTTAGGTCTGAATTAAGTCTGGGTTAGGTCTGGGTTAGGTCTGGGTTAGGTCTGAATTAAGTCTGGGTTAGGTCTGGGTTAGGTCTGAATTAAGTCTGGGTTAGGTCTGGGTTAGGTCTGGGTTAGATCTGGAATAAGTCTGGGTTAGGTCTGGGTTAGGTCTGAATTAAGTCTGGGTTAGGTCTGGGTTAGGTCTGGGTTAGGTCTGGAATAAGTCTGGGTTAGGTCTGGGTTAGGTCTGGGTTAGGTCTGGAATAAGTCTGGGTTAGGTCTGGGTTAGGTCTGAATTAAGTCTGGGTTAGGTCTGGGTTAGGTCTGAATTAAGTCTGGGTTAGGTCTGGGTTAGGTCTGGGTTAGATCTGGAATAAGTCTGGGTTAGGTCTGGGTTAGGTCTGAATTAAGTCTGGGTTAGGTCTGGGTTAGGTCTGGGTTAGGTCTGGAATAAGTCTGGGTTAGGTCTGGGTTAGGTCTGGGTTAGGTCTGGGTTAGGTCTGGAATAAGTCTGGGTTAGGTCTGGGTTAGGTCTGAATTAAGTCTGGGTTAGGTCTGGGTTAGGTCTGAATTAAGTCTGGGTTAGGTCTGGGTTAGGTCTGAATTAAGTCTGGGTTAGGTCTGGGTTAGGTCTGGAATAAGTCTGGGTTAGGTCTGAGTTAGGTCTGGGTTAGGTCTGGAATAAGTGTGGGTTAGGTCTGGGTTAGGTCTGAATTAAGTCTGGGTTAGGTCTGGGTTAGGTCTGAATTAAGTCTGGGTTAGGTCTGGGTTAGGTCTGGAATAAGTCTGGGTTAGGTCTAGGTTAGGTCTGAATTAAGTCTGGGTTAGGTCTGAATTAGGTCTGGGTTAGGTCTGGAAGAAAAATTAGATTTTCTAATTAGCAAACTCGTCTTTTTAAGAGTAAATTAAGACCTAACCCAGACCTAACCCAGACTTATTCCAGACCTAACCCAGTCCTAACCCAGACTTAATTCAGACCGAACCCAGACCTAACCCAGACTTAATTCAGACCTAACCCAGACCTAACCCAGACTTATTCCAGACCTAACCCAGACCTAACCCAGACTTATTCCAGACCTAACCCAGACCTAACCCAGACTTAATTCAGACCTAACCCAGACCTAACCCAGACTTATTCCAGACCTAACCCAGACCTAACCCAGACCTAACCCAGACCTAAACCAGACCTAACCCAGACCTAACCCAGACCTAATTCAGACCTAACCCAGACCTAACCCAGACTTAATTCAGACCTAACCCAGACTTAATTCAGACTTATTCCAGACCTAACCCAGACCAATTCATCGCTGATAACGGGGGTTAGGTCTGGATTAGGTCTGGGTTAGGTCCTTTCAGAGAGAGAGGCGAAAAAGTTACGGTCACCCTTGTGACGTTTTATAGCGACTGAATTACGGGGGAAGAAAATATAAATCACCAACATGTTCAACACTCACCATTAGTGCATGGTGAATGTCAACATTTACCGGTGTAAGTCAGAAATAAGGGTGTTTAGCCTATATTTCGGACATACACTAAGCGACTATGTGAATTGTTGACATTCACCGGTGAAAGTCGACATTCTCCAGATTTCGGTGTTTCACTGTAACATATATATTTAATTTTCAATATTTTTATGCGAACGTTGTCTTTTCCATAAGATCCAAATGACGTAGAATCTCCACGAACATCCTGGGGAGGAACATCAAAATTAGGAGTACCCCCTCAAACACCACCACTGTCACCCCATGAAGATGATTTGTCTCTGGTGCTGGGAACCATGCAAGTGTCAAGAAGTCGAAGTTACAGTACAACGGTGACCCCGAAAGTACAATCCGACTCGGCCAAAGACATAACACCGTCCTCCATGTTGGAAAAAACTAGGAACGTAGTTATGAGACGGAAGAAGTCTGTACCTACAAGCGCTTCTAAAATTGAGAAAGCTGACAATAAGTAAGTTTTTATTAATCTCTAATAATTAAACGTAAAAGTGACTAAAAGGGTTAGGTTTAAAACTTCATTGCTTTCCAAATTTTAAACATGAATTTTGTGAAGTGGTTCGCTACCCTTGGTTGCGTAATAAATTGTTTATAACTGTTGAAATAATAATGAAACTCGAACTTGTCTTTCAGAGAGGGCTCAGCCGAAGAGTTTTTCATCGATGTAATATTACAACGTCATGCTCGTCGATTGCTTTCCGCAAAACGACTTGCAGATTTAGGCAGATTTGCTGCTCGATTAGACTTCCATTTGGTCACATGGTTTGGCAGAGAACGTGACAGAGCAGCGAAACTTGACGACTATGTTACAGCGTTGAAAGCAATGCACGAGGACTTTTCATTCGCTTACCCCGTGCTGTCCCTCCCAACGTTGCAAAAGTTTAGGAGGTCCAGTCTTACGTCTCTGCGTTCCATAAGATCGGTCAGCCTGGAAAATCCAGAGGATGAGCCGTTGAACTCGAGCTTCGCCGTTGACTTGCCTGATAGCGGTTACACCAGCTTACCAAGTGGACGACCACCTTACACCACATTAGTTTCCCCCGTTGCAAGCTTGGAAACCCAGTTTCCCGCTGCTGAAACTAAATTGACAGCAAATATGTTACACGGTATTTATATATTCTTATATCATAGTAACACGTTCGTTTGCTGCCTCTGTAGAGTTTTGAGGCTATTCTAGTTTCCAAAACTCACATTTTCTGTATTTCTTAATCGTATCAATGTGTGCTTCGCTTCGTACTCTACAACTTTTGTTTGGAACTTTTTTCTACGCAACAAACAGTTTTCAAGTAATTTAGGTGGCAAGTGTCTGTTAAAAGTTTATCAAGAAATTGCTGTTTGTGAGTTTTATGAATGTTTACTATCGACACATGAAGATTGATAGTACCATTCCCTTTATTAACACTAGATTGCCCAAGGAAGTCATTTTGACTGCTTTTTAATTTCAATTAGAAAAACAATTATGTATATAATGACACAATTTCTTAGAATTTTGTGACTTTTTACACAACATATAAATGCGTTTATTAATAATAAAGACCCTAGATCTGGGTTAGATCTGAGTTAGATCTGAGTTAGGTCTGGGTTAGGTCTGGATTAGATCTGAATTAGATCTGGGTTAGGTCTGGGTTAGGTCTGAGTTAGATCTGAGTTAGGTCTGGGTTAGGTCTGGATTAGATCTGAGTTAGCTCTGGGTTAGGTGTGGATTAGATCTGAATTAGGTCTGTTTTAGGTCTGGGTTAGGTCTGGGTTAGGTCTGGATTAGATCTGAGTTAGGTCTGGGTTAGGTCTGGATTAGATCTGAGTTAGGTCTGGGTTAGGTCTGGGTTAGGTCTGGGTTAGGTCTGAATTAAGTCTGGGTTAGGTCTAGGTTAGGTCTGGGTTAGGTCTAGGTTAGGTCTGGGTTAGGACTGAATTAAGTCTGGGTTAGGTCTGGGTTAGGTCTGGATTAGATCTGAGTTAGCTCTAGGTTAGGTCTGGATTAGATCTGAATTAGATCTGGGTTAGGTCTGGGTTAGGTCTGAGTTAGATCTGAGTTAGGTCTGGGTTAGGTCTGGATTAGATCTGAGTCAGCTCTGGGTTAGGTCTGGATTAGATCTGAATTAGATCTGGGTTAGGTCTGGTTTAGGTCTGGGTTAGGTCTGGGTTAGGTCTGGATTAGTTAATAATCCAAATTATCTTAACCCTTTGCACTCCTATGTCGAGTGTGATTCGACATCAATTTTGATCTCAGGAGCACCTTCGTCAAGTCTCACACGACATTCTTTCAAGTCCAAACCAAACAGATATCATACACTTGGAAATTACAAAATACAACAACAGTGTAAATAAAACACTTATTTTAACAGGTAAATTTCAAATAAAACACTTAAAAGCATTGTTCGTCAAGTCCCATTCGACATTTTTTCGAGTCCAAACCAAATCATACACTTGGAAATTACTAAATACAACAACAGTGTAAATGAGACCTAACCCAGACCTAACCCAGACCTAACCCAGATCTAATCCAGACCTAACCCAGATCTAATCTAGATCTAACCCAGACCTAACCCAGACCTAACCCAGATCTAATCCAGACCTAACCCAGACCTAACCCAGATCTAATCCAGACCTAACCCAGACCTAACCCAGATCTAATCTAGATCTAATCCAGACCTAACCCAGATCTAATCCAGACCTAACCCAGACCTAACCCAGACCTAATCCAGACCTAACCCAGACCTAACCCAGATCTAATCTAGATCTAATCCAGACCTAACCCAGACCTAACTCAGATCTAATCCAGACCTAACCCAGACCTAACTCAAATCTAATCCAGACCTAACCCAGACCTAACTCAGATCTAATCCAGACCTAACCCAGACCTAACCCAGACCTATTGATAAATTGCAGTTTCTCAATAAGCTAAAGTAGTACTTGTTATTCGAATCTTTATGCAGTGATACTTGTTCTAACAAGTCGTTTATTTTATTTCTGCGCCCTAAATTCATAATATTATACCATAATATTAAAAATTAATTTTAAACAAATTTCTTTACACATTAGTTAATCTTTCACGATGCAGTCATTTCGACTGCTTTTGGGCAATATAGGTATATACTTAGTTTCAGTCTTTCTAGTGTTAAAAAACAACATACACATATACTTCCGATAGCAAATATATGCAATGGCCAACGAACGTGTTAAAATAATGTAATTATCAAAATACCAGAAAATACATTTTATACAACCATTACGCAGATGCAAATAGTGTTCTCAGCGACAGCAGTACAATCTGGAGAGACGACACCGAATCAATCGTTGGGACTGGAGTTGGAACAGTATGTTGGGTTTCGCCAGACCCAGTCGAGCAAATAGAAGTCCACAATGCTTCGTCCTGTGCACCGATAAGTCGTGGAGAAGTGCAGCTTAGATATCTTTTGCAATTATTCCTGGAGAGCGGCTGCCTAGGATGGGCTGCAGTGCTGGCAACCATTTTACGCGATGCACCTGCTATGGCCAGAACTATCAGAGCGGCTCACGCACCGATGCAAACTTTCGATTCTGTAATCAATTTGAGAGATGGCCTTCTCATGCTAACTAAATGGTCCCACTCTGAATGGTACGTATTATAGAAATTGTAACATTATAAAAAACACTTATTTGTGTCTGCGTTTCAGTTTGGGTTACAGACCGTTCATGTCGGGCATCCAAGTACAAATTTCATTGTTGAACAGACTAGTTGTGATCAAACAACAACAGGAACAGGAGCAGATACCGGAAAGCCCTTCTCCGAGTCCAGCGCCATCTGCTGGCAGTAATCAACGTGGAAATTTATCGCGATCGCGGCATTCGTCTATCAGTCATGGTTCGACTGCCCCATTAGAGGAGGATCGATCCCACGAATTGTCTCTGAACGTCGAGGAGGCGACTTTTCGAAACAGTTATAGCAATCTCAATAGCGCGGAGCCCGTTTCTTCGCAATCCACGTGCGCAATCTCTTAAAGCAATTACGTCTTATCAAAACGCAGGTATTGTATTATAGACTCTAGTATGGGTAAGTAGGTACGAAATTTTTCAGCATTGTACAAAACACTTGCTGTTCGGTACTAAAATTTCTGAGATGGATTTAGTCAACATTACCGTACCTCTGATTTAAACAGCGAGTTGTACATGTAACATAAAATGGAATAATGATTTTTTTATATCAAACGTATTGGTTAAACATTGTATAAATAATTATGTACACAATAATCTTTGAGAAATTTTAACGATTAAGGTTGAAATATATCCAAATTTTTTAAGCATTTCTATAACGTGTAAATATGCTATTGAAATTGTAGGGAAGTTACTGTTGACATATTTTTAGAGTAATTCTCGAAACATTTGAAAAATCTACGAAACACGACTGACACTATTTCTTCCTTCTTTTGTAGACAATATACAAAAATAATGAATATATTGTAATTGGTATTAGTAGGTTATAGATTTGATTAAAAGAGGAAGAATAATAGTGGATTGGGGGCACAACTTCAGAGATGGATTCTATACAAGAAAACGATAAAAAAAAAAAGTTTATGTAAACATGTGCCTTATTTGATCTTATTTTCAAGTTATTTGGCTGCCATACTTTATCAAAGTATTATTTATAATAATAAGCCCACGCTCAAGATTCATGTCTGCCATTTGTTGACGAGACTTCCCATTTTCACACACAACGTATTTCAATGATCTAGTATTTTAACACTTTACCGACCGGCAGCGTTGGTCGGTAAAGAAGTTGATTAATACGCCATCGGTCGGTAAAAAAGTCGATTAATTATCGGTCGGTAATGTGTTAATGCTCGCAGGAAGTATTTAAAGAATTAAAATATAAGATTCGGCATTAGATACTGAATTCTGCTTGTAAATAATTAACTAGCGTTGGTTCGATTATTCTCATCTTACAAAAGAATTACTCCAACACGGAACTCGCTATTTTTGTTATTGTTTTCTTGCGCAGAATTCATCTTTGAAACGGGGTCTTACATGCTACGGGACACCCTGTATATTGCAATATCACATCGACTGAATTGCGAAGAAATGGTTTTCACTGATCGTTAACCGTTTCAATACAAATTATTTATTTTTAACACTTTACCGACCGGTTGATTAATCGGCTATCGGTCGGTAAAACAGTCGATGAATACGCTACCGGTCGGTAAGTGTCGGTAATGTGTTAAAAGATTTACAGTATGAAAATTAACACTGATAAAGCGTAGTTCTGTTTATGCAGTAGCGTATCGAATAAAATGGCCGTCCTAACTCCAGATTTTCTTTCGAAAAAAGTGAAATAAATATTATACAATCAAATTAAGAAGAAATTACTGTGTGAATTTGATGTCAATAACTTTATGATCGATATTACCATAGATATTGGTTTTTTAGAACGTAGACGTTATTGGTAAATGGTAGTCTGTATAATATAAATTTTTAAACTAAAAATTACTAGTATTCGTAACATTATTGGTTGCCCGTATCGTATAAACATAATAAACTGAGACATTTATACTCGTGAAACGAATTTTCTAGTAAGAAAAGTGATACGTTTATGTAGCGTGCAAAATTTGAGAAAGAAAAGCTTTAACCGTTTGCAGCTTCGAGCAAAAATATTCTTAGAACCTTTAACTGCATATTCTGGGGCTTTAAATGGTTAATGTTTGATTTGCAAATTGTAATTCCACTGGATTAATGTATAGAAATAGAAGGAACGAAGCGAAACACCATTTATTTGAATACGTTGGTAGACAAGACGAGTTAAATAGTAAAAAATTCATTGATCTTCTGCTTTAAAGTTTCTGAATAAAAATTTCATGCAAGTCCTTGATTTAATTTCATGTTTGTACAGAAATGTTCATATAACTGGGGTACTGCTTACCAATAGTTCAGATAAATGTAGTCTTCCTTTACTATTACGAATATAAATATGATATCGAATCTTTTAAAATAACAGATTTTGTTAAACATTGAGAATAAGTTACTACGCAGAGAAATTAATGAATATTTTGTTTACAGGCAGCGACAGAAATTCATAAATTTCTCAACTTTAGTTCGTGCGTGTTGCGTTTCATTTTAATTTAATTTAAGCATCATAATTTTTAAACACCGATATCAAAAAGAAAAGTTAGTTACGGACAGCCAAGAATAATAATCAAAATTACTCGTAAGTATTTATGTCAAATTAATATAAATCTAAGAATGTCGAGAAAATAGATCATCGAAGAAGGAAACGTAAGCTAAGCAACGACAATTATTCATTGTTTCATAGTTTCTATGTTTCTAAGGAACTGTTTAGTATCGCCCCTTTTATATGTAGCATATGTTCGATTAATCGATCAAATGTACATCTTAACCGATTACTCGATCGTTGGACTCGATTTAAAGGAAATCTAGCAACGGACGTTCACTGTGGTCTTGTATAACGATAATACTAATTAATTCATAGAAAACAACTGTGGAACACTAATAATAAACTGTTTATACATATATTGTAACATAGATATTCAGAAATATATATTTTCCCATGAGCTAACAGCTGTTTTTTCTTTCTTTTTGAACTATCTCGCATATAAAGTAAAAATTTACGCGTTACACTTAAGCGACGTCTCTTACGAGTGGTTCGAGTTGGATTTTTAGTCTTTGATGATTTTGGTCTTCGACGTAACCTTTTCTTTTAAATCGTTTACTTTATACAGGCACAAAATCCAAGCAATTTTCATAATAAATGAAAATGACTTTTTGATGCGAAACAAACAATCAAAAACACTGCATATAACATAACACTTTTATTTCCTCGCGTATTACATATAAGCACCTTTTACGTGCTTAATAATTAACCATAATAATGCAACAATGTGACATATACGATTTAATATTTATGTATTAATAGTAATACGGTTGGCAATAAAAAAAAACTTACATTTAAGGTTAATGACAAAGTTTGAAGATAAATACTAGAGATACTTATGGATAACGTATAAAAAAGATATCAGGTACTTTTTGGATGACACATGTACAATACTTTCATGTTTTTTACTGATGTTAATTTAACATTGGGTTTTAAAAAATCAACCACTGCAGACAAATCTTTTTTATTTCAATATGTCATAAGTATAAATCAAAATGTTGATTTTGTACAATTGATAACCTTACATTGATACTTCGATAAAAATTTAACGAATCAGCAGAATTTTCCCATTTTTGTGCAGTCGTTCGAATCCGTAAAATTCGCGTAGAAATTATATTCAGGAAAACTGTGCTTCCAAATATAAATGTCGTCCTTCCGTGTTTACGTCCCCGTTCTTACTGCTGTCCGCTGATTGGCTGTCGCCGTCTTCGTCACCGTTCTCGGCCAATCCTGTGAGTCAGCGAACAGCACCAAGAGTGGGGATGTAAACACGCTATGACTTCTCGAGGAAGAATGATACATGAGTTTTCTAAGAGAAATTATTCTACTATTCTGTGCGTTTCTCAATAGAAAATTCGAATGAAACAATGGCCTGAACAAAAATTTGGTCATCGTATATGATATGTTAACTTTCTCGGTGCCAGAGACATTTTTAGATGGCGTTCGAAATTTGAACCGTTCAACGTTTAATTTTCCATCTTTCGAACGACTAAAAAGGAAACGTACCCACAGCGTGGACCTAATAGAAGTACTCTCGATTTCATGAACACTTAGTTTCATTTGGCAGAATGTGTTCAGCGCTGGACCACGTCACGAACAGTAAAGCATTCTTCTAGGCGCGCGTGATACGTTCGATAAAAGTATTCAGCATCGAAATAGTTAACACTAGAAAGACTGAAACTTAGTATATACCTATATTGCCCAAAAACAGTCAAAATGACTGCATCGTGAAAGAATAAATAATGTGTAAAGAAATTTGTTTAAAATTAATTTTTAATATTATGTTATAATATTATGAATTTAGGGCGCAGAAATAAAATAAACAACTTGTTAGAACAAGTATCACTGCATAAAGATTCGAATAACAAGTACTACTTTAGCTTATTGAGAAACTGAAATTTATCAATAGGTCTGGATTAGGTCTGGGTTAGGTCTGGATTAGATCTGGGTTAGGTCTGGGTTAGGTCTGGATTAGATCTGGATTAGATCTGGGTTAGGTCTGGGTTAGGTCTGGATTAGATCTGAGTTAGGTCTGGGTTAGATCTGAGTTAGGTTTGGGTTAGGTCTGGATTAGATCTAGATTAGATCTGAGTTAGGTCTGGGTTAGATCTGAGTTAGGTTTGGGTTAGGTCTGGATTAGATCTAGATTAGATCTGAGTTAGGTCTGGGTTAGGTCTGGATTAGATCTGAGTTAGGTCTGGGTTACGTCTGGATTAGATCTGAGTTAGGTCTGGGTTAGGTCTGGATTAGATCTGAGTTAGGTTTGGGTTAGGTCTGGATTAGATCTAGATTAGATCTGAGTTAGGTCTGGGTTAGGTCTGGATTAGATCTGAGTTAGGTCTGGGTTAGGTCTGAGTTAGGTCTGGGTTAGATCTGGATTAGATCTGGATTAGATCTGGGTTAGGTCTGGGTTATGTCTGGGTTAGGTCTGGATAGAATCTGAGTTAGATCTGGGTTAGGTCTGGATTAGATCTGAGTTAGGTCTGGGTTAGGTCTGGATTAGATCTGGGTTAGGTCTGGATTAGATCTAGATTAGATCTGAGTTAGGTCTGGGTTAGGTCTGGATTAGATCTGAGTTAGGTCTGGGTTAGGTCTGGGTTACGTCTGGATTAGATCTGAGTTAGGTCTGGGTTAGGTCTGGATTAGATCTGAGTTAGGTTTGGGTTAGGTCTGGATTAGATCTAGATTAGATCTGAGTTAGGTCTGGGTTAGGTCTGGATTAGATCTGAGTTAGGTCTGGATTAGATCTGGATTAGATCTGGGTTAGGTCTGGGTTATGTCTGGATTAGATCTGGGTTAGGTCTGGGTTAGGTCTGGGTTATGTCTGGGTTAGGTCTGGATAGAATCTGAGTTAGATCTGGGTTAGGTCTGGATTAGATCTGAGTTAGGTCTGGGTTAGGTCTGGATTAGATCTGGATTAGATCTGGGTTAGGTCTGGATTAGATCTGGGTTAGGTCTGGGTTATGTCTGGATTAGATCTGGGTTAGGTCTGGGTTAGGTCTGGGTTATGTCTGGGTTAGGTCTGGGTTAGGGTTATCCAGAAGATTTCTACCGAGAAAGCATCTATTTTATTCTTTTACATACATATATAAAAGAATAAAATAACCCAGACCTAACCCAGACCTAACCCAGACTTAATTCAGTCCTAACCCAGACCTAACCCAGACTTAATTCAGACCTAACCCAGACCTAACCCAGACTTAATCCAGACCTAACCCAGACCTAACCCAGACCTAACCCAGACTTAATCCAGACCTAACCCAGACTTAACCCAGACCTAACCCAGACTTAATCCAGACCTAACCCAGACCTAACCCAGACTTAATCCAGACCTAACCCAGACCTAACTCAGATCTAATCCAGACCTAACCCAGACCTAACTCAGATCTAATCCAGACCTAACCCAGACCTAACCCAGATCTAGGGTCTGGGTTAGGTCTGGGTTAGGTAAGCCCAAATCAACAATTTAACATGTACTTGTATGTTATCATGTGTTGGTAATCGAAAAAAAATGAAAACTGTTATTTCAATACAGAGTCGAACTGGTCATATAAGAAATTTACTCAATTCAATAATAAGAGTGATTTGATTATTTAAAATTTCCCAAGCAGTCAAAATGACTGCTTTTGACCAATATAGGTATAACGCATATACCGGAAATGAAGGAGGGAGGAGGTAACTACAATTATTAATAAACGCATTTATATGTTGTACAAAAAGTCACAAAATTCTAAGAAATTGTGTCATTATATACATAATTGTTTTTCTAATTGAAATTAAAGAGCAGTCAAAATTACTTCCTTGGGCAATCTAGTGTTAAATACGCATGCGCGAGTCTATCGCGGTTTTACTTCGTTCTAACGGAAGACGTTTTTGTTCGCAACGGGCGATCTCGCAAATGAAAAAATCAAATGGCAGACACCGTTCGAGGAAAAATACAATCACAATGGAACTTTCTTAACAATGCCGTAGTTTAATGTTACCGTCAACGTGATTAAACATAGTTTGGATTATACGGTGCTTGTTTTGCATAAACCTCGCTCGAGTGTGGCAGTGGTCCCAACATTCCTGGAAGGTAAATTTCATTACAATTACTTCCATCTAATACATAATTATTTATTAACAATACGCATACTAGGCACGTGCAGCGGATTGAAAATTAATCATTCATTTATTCGTGTACATTCCGCTCTGTATTTGTAATAATATACAGGGTGTTCCAGTTTTTAGGTGTCAAACTTTGCCAGTGTACAGGGTGGTCCGGCCACCTCTGGGAAAAATTTTAATGGGAGATTCTGGAGGCCAAAATAAGACGAAAACCAAGAATATTAATTTGTCGATCGAGGCTTCGTTAAAAAGTTATTAACGTTTGAAGTCGCGCCTGTTGATAGGCAACCTGCGCACAGCCGCGTGCGCAGTGGCGGCGCGTGGCCGAATACTCTACAGCAATATTTGTATTTTAAATAAATATTATTTTCACAATAATCACCGCCTGTTCGTTCAATTTTCTATTGTTTCTAGTGTGCTATCAGTTTGTTTTTAATGAGTTGTGCAATCTTCTTGTTCCATGCTGCACTTATCCTAATTCTGTATTCGTATGGACGTTATAATCACCTGTTGGATTCGTAGGATTCAAATTGTGCTGACCCGGGTGTAGAATATTCGCGGGTGATTGAATTACTTGTACGACACTAGGTACTTCTACGTCTGGAACAAATATTCTCATAAAGCGGACTTAACATTCAAGGTTGATGATTTTCATCTTTAGAATCACGAAACAAATGATGAAAAATTAACAGAAATCTGATGATACAAGATACACGCCAATTTATTCTTAACACTTTACCGACCGATAGCCTATTAATCGACTGTTTTACCGACCAACGCTTACCGACCGATCGCCTATTAATCAACTGTTTTACCGGCCAACGCTTACCGACCGATAGCCGATTAATCAACCGCTACTGGTCGGTAAAGTGTTAACAGAATCTGTACATATTTTGAAAGATTGCAAAGATTTGGAAAATATCTAATAATCAGGGTCAAAATATGCTTAAAAAAAGAAACATCGTTTCCAATATTGTAGGTTATGATATTTTCATCTTTGGAATCAGCAAACAAATGATGAAAATATTGCACCAGATTTGAAAATATATTTACACGCTTTATAAAGGAAGGTTCATACAAAGTGTTCTTTATTATAGGGCGATGCGTCGTTTTATTTTTACATGACCGACACACGATGCGCGCTAATAATAACGTAAACTGTATAATACAATATTATTCATATCGCATTAATGGGAAAGAAAAATGTTTCCTCGTGCTAAATCCAAATGTTATTTATTACGCAAAACGTTACAATAGTTATTAACGTTAATAATCATATCTTAAGTTTACATTTTTATATAAATTTTCGTAGTTTCGCGTTTATATTGTTAGTAAATTCGTAAACGAAAAATAATTGTTCGTAAATATTATCGATACAATACTTTAAATATACGTGGATCGATGCATACATAAACATGCGTTTTAACACTTTACCGACCGATAGCCTATTAATCGACTGTTTTACCGACCGATAGCCGATTAATCAACCGCTACCGGTCGGTAAAGTGAAAATCTGTTGTTCTGCCGTTATAAAAAAAATAAACTTTTCGAATGTCTCGTACGCGTACTTTTAAACAACCGTTTGACAGATGATCGACACACATTCGAATATATAATTTGAAAATTTGCCAAATCTTAGCCAGCTAATGAAAACTAAATTCTTGCTTTTTAATTAAACAAATAAACCTCAATTCGCATATCCAGCATACTCGTTTTGGTTTTCCAAACCGTTACAAATTATTAATACATTCGTAATAGAATTAAGAAAATATAATTAAATAAAATTTTTAGAACAAAATATAACACTTTTTAGTATAGAAGGAACTTATCATGGAATGTTTGTCGTTTCTTCGTTATTCACAGAATTCTTAATTTTCAATAACAAACTGCCTTAAAAAATTTATGTTTGTGTTAAAGGCAAACGCGTGAAAATAGTCATGTTTGTACTGTATCACATTAAAGCATATCCATTCTACTCGAAGTAATATCACCCGATCGTATTATAAACCCAACCTCTGAAAATATATTTTTTTTAACCAAATTTGATAACCAAACATTTAAATTTTTCTGTCATCGATATACTTGTTCAATACGTTTCGGCAAAATTTCAATATGGCGACTTATCATCACACTACCAATGCAATAGTTTGTTGAGATTAATTAATTAATTAGTTTTCTCCAAAATGTACATCGATTTTGTGCGTCGAAAATTATTAAGTTTGTTTTCTGTTTTCTTGTTTCAAATTCTGTAAAAATATTCAACATTTCTGAACAGTGACCTACGTTATCGACTGCTGTTTTACAGATCGATATCCCAAAAGCTATCAGCTTCACGATAGACGAGGATGAACCCTATTTTATTCTCGAAATTCTGGTAATATTTGAACAAACTGACTTTCAAATATCGCGACTATCCATTGGCAAACAATTACCAACATATATTGCTTTAAAAGCGACATAAGTTTCGTAAAAATAGCGAAGACATGTGCGGTGGACAGAATCGTTAGACCATCCTATAGTGTACTTATGTGTAAAGCATAGTATATATACCTATATATGTATTAAGTTAGTAGTAATAAAAATTGGAAGCCACAAATTCTCATGCAAGAATATATAGAAAACGAGGTATAAATTAATGTTTGAAAAAGTACATGTACCATAGAGAGACGAGTCGATGGCTAGGCGCGCTGATTGGCTGTAGCGCAACAGCGACATCTGTCCTCGCAGAGGGTCACTATTTGTCGAGTAAATCGTAACTACAATTCATGTTGACGCAGCCATAAGCTCAAGAGTATTAACAATTTACCGACCGGGTAGCCTATTAATCGACTGTTTTACCGGCCAACGCTTACCGACAGAGAGCCTATTGATCAACTGTTTTATCGGTCGGTAAGCGTTGGCCGGTAAAACAGTCGATTAATATCGGTCGGTAATGTGTTAAGTATTAACCATGAATAGAAAAATGTAACGATGAGACGTGAAGACCTACTCTCTTTGCTTTCTTATCCAGTTTGTAGGTGCCTAACCAACAAATTATCTCTCTATGGTACTCTAAGATACAATTACAGAAAACACTGTGTGTAAAACAATGTCAGAAGACTTGGAAGGTGTGCTGAAATGCAATCAGGCCGTTGTCGATTCTATAAAGAATTACATTGTCAAATTGGCTACATCTTCGTATAACCATAATATTAATTAATTAAATTTCTTTTTATCGAAGCAAAGGGGATTGTGCATTCGGGCTCATTTTCGATCCTAATTCGATCTTTCTGAATGTTTTATGGGATTACAGAGATTGATATTTTTATTTGTGTAATTCCATATCATCGTTATAACGGGTGAACCTAAAATAGAAACTTGACCAATTTCGACCAGCGTAGTATAGGCGGTGCTTCCTAATGGCACACTTCTTCGATCGGCATGAAATTTGCAGGGGACGGGGGAGGGTGGGCGTGGATTCTAAATATAAAGTTTCAGGCTCGGGAATTAAATAGCTTCCGAGGTATTTGCTCGAGTTTGGCAAAATGAAGCAAATATCACTACCATTATTTTAGCAATTTTAGTAAATATTAAACAAACTTCATTCTTTTAATATGTATATTTACTTTTGACTATTATAGTATACTCGAATTCCTACTTTCTAAATTTTGTATAGTACATAAAATCGCATATTTTTTTTTTTTTTTTTTGTATTTTTAGAGCGAAATTTGAATGTTTCTCTTTTACTATTGTTGAAAAATTGATATCCACAACGAAATCATTTTCATCCTGTAAAACGTGAGAAACGTCGTCTTTGGGCCGAAAATTATCCCGAACGCATTACAGCCTCCAATCTTTTTCTTGCAATTTTTTTGTTAATGCAAAATTCAAATTAACACTGAGTATCTTGTTCCAATATCGTTGCTATCGACTAGTATTAAATAAAAACTGAACGGGGAAGTAGAATTTTAAAAAAAAAAAATACAACGCAGGATAGGCAACTAAGAAATATTAAAATATTAAAATATTATAAACTGAAAAGTTAGTGGTGAGATAGAATAATCTAAATATGTTTATCTCAATGAATGAAGCTGTCTTTGTGAAATTTGAATAAAGCAACAATTGGTTCATTGATATAATAGAGGTTATGTGCTTGATTTAAGTAAAATTTTAGGTTATTTTGTGAACTGATTTCCATGGCACGAAAGAAAGCCACGTTTGTCGAAACATTTATTCGATATCGCCGAATAAAACTGTTGGGAATTTAAATATCGTAGAAAATAGATACTTACGCCCGTAAATCGTTCCTTGATGGCGTCTGCGATGGCGGCGACAACACGCTATGCAACATACTACCAGTGTGAACATCATTACAACAACGACAATCACCGTGACAGCGACCCTGTAACGCAACGATACGAATTTTATTTATACACCCGCGATAACCAAATCTCAACTGTAACCGAAAAAAAAAAATCTTCCGAGAGATTTCTGTACAAAATAATGTAAATCTTTTTCGATTAAATAATATCTTTGGACGCAAGAAGGCGTATAATCGAGGAAGAAAAACAATATACTTTGTAAGTAATTGAAGATTCTAAGAAACATTAACCTAATGTAAACAAATATACATTAACACTTTACCGACCGATAGCCTATTAATCGACTGTTTTACCGACCAACGATTACCGACCGATAGCCTATCAATCAACTGTTTTACCGACCAACGCTTACCGACCGATAGCCTATTAATCGACTGTTTTACCGACCAACGCTTACCGACCGATAGCCTATCAATCGACTGTTTTACCGACCAACGCTTACCGACCGATAGCCTATTAATCAACTGTTTTATCGGTCGGTAAAGTGTTAACAAAGAACATATATTAGAAAATATATAAAATTTAACCTATAAATATAACACGTAACTTAAATTTCAATATTTCGTTTATAACTGTGTAAACAAAATTGTATTTAAAAGTGCTGATACAATTATTACTATAAAAGGAAATAACTCTTTGTGTATTGAAATCATTATAATTTTACTTGGACTATCATGTGCAATGATTCAGATGTTGCACAATATATTAGGTGTGAACTGTATAAAGTTACATATAAATAATATTATAACAGATGTGAGAAACTTTTTATAAAATATTGTAAAATTATGTCCGAGATTTACGTAAAATTCCGAAATTTCAAACGGAATGAAATTTTTCGGGGAACATTATTTACACATAGATATTCTAGAAACAAAAAAATTTCATTTTTTGACTTATTTCATTAGTCGATGAACGAAAATCGCCTTCTTATAAAAGTCTTTTTTGAAATATTAAGCTTTTTGTTCCGAGGTCAGCCATTTTTCAAATTTTTAATTTTCTTTCACTATTTTCGGTTCGTCCATTTACTATTGTTATATACTAATCTCGTTGATAATAAAAACTGATACCAGAGTGTACACCGTTTTAGAAAACGTCTTGAGAAGCTTCTAACAAATCATGCTGTATCTCCGCCATTTTGCATTTTATTTGACCAAAAAAAATTGCAAAATGAAATCGAAGTATATTCTAAATAGTCCTCAAAATCTTGCAAATATTTATTGATTCTCTATCCTTCGAAATAATTCTTGAAAATCGGCTTAATTTCGGATGTTTACATAGAGGTCGCCCCTTAACACTTTACCGACCGGTAGCGGTTGATTAATCGGCTATCGGTCGGTAAGCGTTGGTCGGTAAAACAGTCGATTAATACGCTATCGGTCGGTAAGCGTTGGTCGGTAAAACAGTCGATCAATAGGCTATCGGTCGGTAAAGTGTTAAGAGGTCGCTCGCCTCGAAGAGTCTGGGGTTAAGTGCCGTGAGGTTGGTCACAGATCCTTCCAGAAACTCCCTATCGGCGACCAATAAACAAAACATCCGCGACTCTTGGAATTCGTCGCGCCTCTAGTATCAACTACGTCAACCATAGTCTGATGGCAGACTTATGGTTCCCGTATCGACACCTACGATACTCTTTAGAGTCAGGTCAAAGCCCCAAAATGTGCATCGACCCTGACACGTGTCACCCCTATAAATAAATCCGGTTTTCAGTCCCCCTTTTTAGCTACTGACTATAAATCAAATTCGAAAAATGATTCTCCTTATTTCATAAGAGTTTTCACTGGTATTTTCATTGCAACACCTTACTATACCATTGATATTACTCTCGCGAAGATACAACGAGAAATATGGAAGATTTTAGTTATCTAGATGGAAAAACAAAATGGCACGACTAATTGTAAGCTTTACCGACCGGTACCGATTGACCTTGATTATATATCTACTTTTTTTTGTACTTATAGGAATGTTAAATGAAACTTTGCGACAGTTACTATATTGTTCTCTTTCTGTAATTACAGGGTAATTAAATCTAGTGATATTTTTTATTTTCATGAGAACCGATCAATAAGCTGCCCGGTCGGTAAAGTGTTGAGCGGTAGAAAACTGTTTTACCGGCTATCGGTCGGTAAAATGTCGATTAATAGGCTACCTGTCGGTAAAGTGTTGAGCGGTAGAAAACTGTTTTACCGGCTATCGGTCGGTAAAATGTCGATTAATAGGCTACCCGGTCGGTAATGTGTTAATATAATACATACTACGGTTACATTAATATATTAATCGATAAAAAATATTACCATGATGACTTAACAACAAATTCCGCAGCGTCGCAACAATAGGTCCTGCTATTCTCAACGTCTAAACAACAGTAAGATTTATCGCTCGAGTCCAAGAGTCCGGGGCACGAATCTATCATTTTTTCCAAGAAGTTCTGGTTCCCGAATGAGCATTTCATTCCTGAAAATATATAATTTATTTCGATTTAGACCACTATCGCTTTCGAAAATAGTAAAAATGTTTTCTCTTCAACATTTCTTCGTTTGTTTCACGTTTCTCATTGAAAACGTATTCTCGTTTACATAATGCATTTCATCCTCAAAACAATTTATTATTTATAATAAATTCGATGTATATGGAACATGAAATTTGCTATTTTTAGGTTATATTTTTATTATAATTAATGTTGTAAAATTGTATTTCATCGTCAAAACAATTTATTATTTATAAAAAATTCGATGTATGTGGAACATGAAATTTGCTATTTTTAGGTTATTTTTATTATAATTAATGTTGTAAAATTGTATTTCATCGTCAAAACAATTTATTATTTATAAAAAATTCGATGTATATGAAACATGAAATTTGCTATTTTTAGGTTATATTTTTATTATAATTAATGTTGTAAAATTGTATTTCATCGTCAAAACAATTTATTATTTATAAAAAATTCGATGTATATGGAACATGAAATTTGCTATTTTTAGGTTATTTTTATTGTAATTAACGTTGTAAAATTGTATTTCATCGTCAAAACAATTTATTATTTATAAAAAATTCGATGTATATGGAACATGAAATTTGCTATTTTTAGGTTATTTTTATTATAATTAATGTTGTAAAATTGTATTTCATCGTCAAAACAATTTATTATTTATAAAAAATTCGATGTATGTGGAACATGAAATTTGCTATTTTTAGGTTATATTTTTATTATAATTAATGTTGTAAAATTGTATTTCATCGTCAAAACAATTTATTATTTATAATAAATTCGATGTTTATGGAACATGAAATTTGCTATTTTTAGGTTATATTTTTATTATAATTAATAATAATAATTGTTTAATGAAAGAACATAGAACGTAAACGTAAAAAACCATAAATGGAATCGAAATGAAACCATCTCGATTCCTATCTATTGATATTACACAGAAATGACGTAATCGATAAGGATTCTTTTTCCTACGCACGTTCGAGGAGCAGAACGCATATCAACCTAACCTAACCTAAACACTTCGGTCATCATTACCAACGGATACCAGCCTAAACACTTCTATCGACGCCAACGATAGCGATTCCCCGTTACACACGCATATACGCTTCTTAAAATACATGTATACGTGTATGTTTATACTGTTGTTCCTCGAAGTACGAGGTTTCGATTGTACGCAACTTTATCTCAACCTTTATCATGGTCGTCGCGTTCTCCGAAGTCACGATCATTCTACTGCTACAAACGACCATTTTTTACAACAAAAATCCCTCAACGATACATGCATTGAAATTAATTTCGCGATAACTTTGACCATTTTCAATATTTCCTACAATTAATCACTCTTCTATCGTAGTTTTTACATTTTTACTCCTTTTCTCTGTTTTAATTTCGATTTACGACTTTACGATGCAATTCTATTGCTTGCCAATAATTTTCCTTTGTTTTTAGGGGTTCCCCGTGGAAAACAATGGGGATTTTAACCGCGAGACGTTTTCCAGCCTGAATCCTAGTAACTTTCTTTTAAAATTAAATGGACACCATACAAAAATGCATGAAAAGGCAAAAAAAAAGGGTTAAACCAAAGTTATCATATATTTTCACGAAATATAATAAATATGTTTGAATGTACATCATGCGTGAATACTGCACGTTTTATTTTCCTCGTAACCCTTGTAACTACGATTTCAATTATGTTCGCCGTATGCTGATACGCGGATTGCGATTAATGGCAGTAAAAACAACAGTAATATTCCGCGTACAATTACTCGGACAGAATTTTCCTTGTTATGCTCTACAGACATCGTTTCATGCTTTTCACTGTTACTAACACTAGGTTTACGGAATACGTAAATTTCACGCATTAAGATTCTAAACCTAACGTTACAGAACTCATAAATATTATTTGTTAGCAATTCGTGGTGGATTTAATTGATGTAATGATATAAACATACACTCCGATTAAAAGAAAAATTGCGTTTTAATGTAACTGTTATCCCCGGCGAATTACAATAAAAATATGTGTAACGAGTGTCCGTAAACCCAGTGTTAAACAGGATATATTCACTTCTATGACGAAATTAATATCAACTTATACTTCGTGTTTGAATTCGAAGGGTCAGACGAGTGTTGTACGAATATCTCATCTTTCGTTGAAGAATATTTCAGTAATTATTGACATTTAATAATTGTTTATCGAAGGTTCCATACTCTTTTAATTGCACGATAAAATCCCATTTAGAAAACTGAAGATCGATCTTCATATTTCGGGGGAAAAAAAGTAAAATAAGAATCTAATTATTCTTATTGTTTATTCTACTTAATACCGTACGACTTTTGTTTCATATCTCAAACAATTTATAAGTTAGGATGATTGAATTAAACTTGCTTTGCGCAATGGCGCGAGTCTCTTGCGAATAGAAATCCATTCGACCGGTCGAACACAATTTAATCTACCGTATTGGTCGTAATGTATTATTTAACAGAGTTCTCATTTTATTTACAATTATTTTTACTTGAAACCCCTCAGGCGGACCGAAAGAATGATTCCAAAAGTCCATCGATAGTGTTCGCTAATGAACCAACGAATTACGAATAAAGTTTAAACAGAAGTTAGCGCACGAGTGACTTTAAAATCCGTGTTCATTTGTCACGAATAAAAGGACAATTCAATTTGTAATTTTTTCTTGTTTAAACGTTATAATAACACACAAAAGTAAAATGGATGTAAGAAATTGTACTACGATGGGGAAAGTTTTCAAAAAATCTGTCACGAGTGCTTGGTACGCTATCATGTCGCTTCCATTTCCTTTAACTATCTATCTGCGAACTGTTTCGAATTAAATATGAAGTTTTCCAGAACCGTACTGTTATTTGTCGAGAAACGTAAGAATTCGGTATTACTTTCTGTCTATACGACACATAGTAGCTACTTCAGTGAATTTACATAGAAATAGTTGCATAAAATGCATAAAAAATAGTAGCAACGTAATCAAAATTGAGATGCGAAACATTCGGTTTTTAATAGTTACAATTTATAGCGACTAAGGTCCCAGATCGGACTGCTTGGGGAAAAGAATCAATTCATAGAATTCGAGATTTAATCACAGGAAATCTTACTCACCATGGGATAACCCCGCGTTGAGGGAAACAACAAGTAGCAAAGTGGTTGCGCGCAACATTTTAATTAATATCGATATCGAATCGCGAAGTGCGAGTTTTAAAACAAAATTCAAACGAGAAATACTTTTACCGAAACTGCGGCACTCAACAACTACGGAAATAATAAACAAATGCGGCGCTTAAGACGCTTTAACCTTACGCGACATACACCACTGCGACCTGCAGGCTACAGACTGCCAGTTGTAAACGTTGAATATGAGCTCAGATGCCAGGCTCGTCGCCTCCGACTGTGGCGACATCTTTTGGACGAACTCCGCAACCACGGAGCTTCGATCCGTCATCGATTCTCGCTGATTATTTTTATATAAACGAATAAATGAATGTTATTAGATATTAGATCTAAATCGAATCTAATTCCCTTAAACTATCTTTACAATTTAATCGATGTTACATCAGATTATTATACGTCACTCGATCAATGTTCAGAACAAATAAACACGCTTGTTCATTTTAGCGGTTTTTTTTTCAAATTTTAAAAGTTACTTTACCGCGTTTTGTTTCATTGAAAACGATCGTATTCGCATTCATTTATGTAAAAGAAAAACATGTATTTTATTGAACATCCTTATTTATCGAAATAGATAAATAAACACAAACATTTATATATTTATATATTTTTAACTATTCTAACAAATAAATACGTGTTAATATAGCAACATTATAATTTATTAAAAATACGACTAAAACCTCCAGAATTTTCGCTCTGAAGGTACAATTAATTAATATATTACTACTAATTTTTATATAAACGAGTGTTATTAGATCTAAACCGAATCTAATTCCCTTAAACTATCTTTACAATTTAATCGATGTTACATCAGATTATTATACGTCACTCGATCAATGTTCAGAACAAATAAACACGCTTGTTCATTTTAGCGGTTTTTTTTTCAAATTTTAAAAGTTACTTTACCGCGTTCTATTTCATTGAAAATGATCGTATTCGCATATATCGATATAAAATGATATTAAAAAATAATCCCCATTATGGGACTCCAATTTCGGCCAAAAAAAAAGACCCAATAACTAATTAGTAACCTAGTAGTAAGTTTTACCCTTAAAACGTCGTTTTGTTTAGTGGACTGAAATGGTATCGTTGCGTTGTGATTGGTTACGAAATGTCGTCCATGTTGCAATCTGTACAGAGCAGAGGACTCTGTACGATCGTATAAAAGTCCGTCTCAGATCCTCGATAGGCAGCAGGTGCTTGGCGTGCCGCCATTTTGGTAGCCTCACTGGTAGCAACACATTTCCCACGGTACGCTGCGACCAGCGGTAGACGCGGCGATAGCTCCAGGAGAAACGAACGAGAGGGAGAAAGATGGAGGACAGGGCAGGAGCGAGACAGAGCGAGACAGAGTGAGCAGAGCAGAAGAGAGACAGAGCGAGACAGAGCGAGCAGAACAGAGACAGAGACAGAGCGAGACAGAGCGAGCAGAACAGAACAGAGACAGAGCGAGACAGAGCGAGCAGAACAGAGACAGAGACAGAGAGAGACAAAGTGAGCAGAACAGAGACAGAGCGAGACAGAGTGAACAGAGACAGAACAGAGACAGAGAGAGACAGAGTGAGCGGAGCAGAGACAGAGCGAGACAGAAGTCGCGTTGAGTTGTACCGCTGATTCCGGCTGGTGGAAAGATGGCGGAGGGTAATTCGAACACGCGTTATATAGCCTCTCGTTGGTCGCGCATGCGCGTTGTTGTATTCGGTGCGATGGTGTCGGTAGGCGGAGCGGCATCTAGGACCGACTTGTACCGGGTGGCACCGCATCACTGTCATGCAAAAACCGCATGAAACGGCACCACTTGCCTCTCTGGCGTACCGACGCGGGAGAGGACGGCGAGGGGGGAGGGGCGGCGGGGGGCGTGAGAGTTTACGTGGGGCAGGATGGAAGTTCGAGCAGATGTGGCGCCACAGGGACGAGATTATGGGCAAGGAAGTGCCATAATGACGATGACTACGATCCCGCGATTTCGGGCCATTTAACCTATTCGCGGAGCAATAAAATTGCGAGGTACGGGTTTCAAAAAATGGCTACTTTTTTTCTGTGCGTGTTTTCGATCACATCCATACACTTTGCTTGTATTTTGTTCAATCGGCGTGAAAAAAATGCAGACTTTTTCTGTTTCATTTTTTTTTGATATTCGAAGACAACGAAAATGTATTGAAAACTGTTTGCTTGAATTGTTTGCTGTTGCATTCTTTTGATATTTCTGTTAGTAACCAGGGTTATTATTCCGTACTTTTTTTTTAAAGGACAATTCACTCCATACAAGGGTACACTTATTTTATTCATACAGTTAGGTTAGTTCTTAATAAGTAGCAGTTTGTTATCGATTCACTGATACCACTTTTAGAGCTGTAAATCACGCAATTATTATCCACTGTCAGAGAAAATAGTATTACCGTTATATAGGTATATAAAAGAGACGAATTTGTGAACAGTTGACGCCAAACTGATTTTAAAAGCAACCTAACCTTTCACTTTAGATGTTAGACAATCTATAAAATTAGAGAAAAGAGATAATAAGCAGAATAGCATGTTTTAAAATTTACCTAATCGTTGTTAGATCAATTTCTTTTTCATTTTTTCCTGGTTAACGTGAACTTATTATGGAACAAGTAGTTGAAAGGTTATGTTTGCAAAGAAATAGAAAAAAGACAATTCTGTAACACCGATCTTTTCATCGTCTTTTAAATGAATTAAAATTACAGTCGAAGAGCATTAGTATTATAAAATACACTAAAAGCGTATTAATTGCCATAAATTTAAATCGAACATTGAAAATTTTCGAAGTATGTAGCTATCATCGAGTTTTCGAGAAAACAAAGTATTTTACATGTTTATAATAAATTTAACTATCTTTTTCGTAGTAAATTACATAGATTATTTTTAATATTTATAAAAATGTAATAGAATGCTTTTGTAATGAATTTAGGTTTTAATTATTCGAATTTTAAATTTCCTCTGAAAAATGGCGGGAAAATTTAGTTTAGTTTTTTTTTTTAGTAAAAAAATTAAAAATTAAAAATTTTTCAGAACTATAAATATTTACAATTTGAACTGATTAACAAAGCTCCAAAAACTTAATAAACTAGTTTTTTCAAAGTTATACAGGTTTTTAATTTTAGCCAAATATCGTTTACATATTTATTATCAGATATTTTAAAAATAGAATTTGCAGTAGGTAATCCGCCATTTTGAATCACTATAGAGACTAAGAATATACCTCAAGAAATCATTGGAAATAAAATAAAAATGTAAATGTTCACGTATTCCTGAAAATACCGCGAATTTTAAAAATTTTTTTAAAACGTATAAGCCGAACATCTTATCTCGTAGACCTGATTCGTCCAATCAATCAAACATTATCAAGAAATTAATGTGACACGCATTCTTTGTAAACAACTGAATAAAATGAATTTATCGGGAGACTTGCTAGAATTCAAATATTTCTATCTTTAAATTCACTAAAGAGTAATTTGCTATGTTTCTCGAGATTTATACAAAAGTGCTGAAATCTGGTAAATAATATTCCAAAAACAAACGTTGTTCAATGGAAATCAATAAAAACGTAAAAGACAGATCATTCAAACTACCATTCCACCACAAAACGTAAGCGTCAACATTTTATCGCGAAAAGAATTTATCTTTGTTTATTCGATCGACACAAACGCTGATAAGTGTGGAAGACTTGTCATTCGTCGTCTCGCGAAACAATTGTACAATCTCGATCCTATCGACTGAGATCAGAATTGTTTAATTCAAGCGTGATTTTACTAAAACAGTTATCCTGAGAAAGCGCGGGGAAATATTCAAGTTTCTATTCTCCGGTGGAGTCCCGAAAAAAAGGGGCGCGACCAACGGGGGGGCGTGGCTAGAGCCGAGGGCGTGGCCGCGGGCGTGGCTTCGGGGGAACGTCCACTACCGCTCTGGGCGTTGCCTCGGCTGGCCGAGCGCCGGTGGTGGGGATGACGGCATCGAACCCCGCCAGCCGCAGTCGCAATTCAACCGTTCGATGGTGCGTACGTTACGATGTGTCGCGTTACGGGTGGATCCCTTTTTACCGGAAGCGAAGGAGATTACTTACTCGTCGATTGAATCTTAACATACACGCCATATTTTCGTACGTGTCGTGTCCGTTGTTTTTCGCACGCGTGGAAAGGTCGTCCTTCGGGAACTTTTCGGAAGTGATCCAACGAAGTGCACCGAACGACGCAAAACGGATTAAACGTAAATCAATCGTACACTTTTACGCGTTCGGTGAACGATCAGCGAGTGTTCGCGAAAATTTTCGAGCCAACCATTTGGATGTAAGGAGAAAACGTTACGATCGGTTTGGTCGTGGCTTTAAGCCGGCCGGCGCCCGCGTTAAAGGGAATATATTCGAAGCGTCCGTCGATAAAACCCTGTTCCCGTGATTTCTCAAATCGATCACAATTCTACGGGTCGAATCACCGAAAATCGATATCTCGTTCCGGTGAAGTCCGAGAACAGTTCCGAAATGAGTTCCCATTCGTCGCGATCCGGGGAGAAAATCATCGAAGGACTGTAGATATTTCTTTTTTTTCCCCGGGCGAGTTATTTCGACAGATCGGTTGAAAATGTAGCTTCTCGCAACTCCTGACTCGAACGCGAATGAAAACCGTCGCAACAAACGTGTGACCTCGGTTCGTAATTGTTTACATCCAACGGAGCGAGAATCGATCCGAGAAGCCCGAACCGTCTTGCTCGTCGGTTCGAACGATACGACGGCGTTCGAACGGACCCGTGAACGCTTGTTCTTTGTTTCGAGGCGAGTGTGCCAAAAAAAGTTACACGGGGAACTCTGTTCAACGATATCAAAGTTCCGGCCTTCGTTTCGGCGTTTTCACGCGAGACTCGTCGTCGCACGGTGAATAAGTGAACAAACGAGTGATTATCGTAGTGCGCCGTGGTCGTAAGAAATATCGTAACAGGAGCGACCACTTCCGACGGCTTCATTGTCCCGAGTATTTTTCTCGACGGACGGAGGATGATATTCTGAACGGATATTTTTCTTTCTTGGGGGGATTTCTCGCCAGGATGACCAGTCGCCACGTTGCGTCCGCATAGCCGTCACAGTGGAGTTCTGCTTAATCGCAGGTAAGTGTCTTTGTCACGCGTTACGGAGCTATACTACGCGAGTCGAACTTCTCTATTCATTATTCGCGAGCGTGGAACGTATTTACGACCATTTCTGACGACGGGAACGTTCAAGAATGCTCGTTCCGAAATTACACGAAACAATGAAGAATTTCTATCTTGAACACAGGAAGAAGCATACTATCTCTGATTTATCGTACTTATCTGCTTTAATTTTTCGTGTTATATTATTTTCTTACTTTTTTCTTACGAAAATCCATCGATTGCTCTTTTTACATGCTTTCGTTTAACACGTTGATCGTTTACCAGTAACCGTCGCTTTAAACCTACGACGTAACCTCAAAAAACCTTCCCAATAAATGAATTTAATGCTTCTAAATCTTTAACTAATGCAATTGACATTAGGAATGCTGTAAAATAACAAATACTCGATCGAATTGTTCGATATTTCTTTCCGTTAGGTTATAATTCGAAAAAAGTGTCGAGAATAACACCAACGTGTTGGTTTCACTTGTTCGTGGAATACAAAACACTTTTAATTCCCTTGGAGCTATGAAATTTTTTTGAGGTTAGCATTTTGGACGATACTGAAGCGTTACAGAGAGATTAGGTGTACATTCAACAAATTATTACGCGTTACAATATTTTTACACTTTAGCGTGTCTATAGATTGTATTCCCCGATAGCAGTCAATTTTTTTTTCTAAAATATACTCGAAATAACAAATACTCGATCGAATTGTTCGATATTTCTTTCCGTTAGGTTATAATTCGAAAAAAGTGTCGAGAATAACACCAACGTGTTGGTTTCACTTGTTCGTGGAATACAAAACACTTTTAATTCCCTTGGAGCTATGAAATTTTTTTGAGGTTAGCATTTTGGACGATACTGAAGCGTTACAGAGAGATTAGGTGTACATTCAACAAATTATTACGCGTTACAATATTTTTACACTTTAGCGTGTCTATAGATTGTATTCCCCGATAGCAGTCAATTTTTTTTTCTAAAATATACTCGAAATAACAAATACTCGATCGAATTGTTCGATATTTCTTTCCGTTAGGTTATAATTCGAAAAAAGTGTCGAGAATAACACCAACGTGTTGGTTTCACTTGTTCGTGGAATACAAAACACTTTTAATTCCCTTGGAGCTATGAAATTTTTTTGAGGTTAGCATTTTGGACGATACTGAAGCGTTACAGAGAGATTAGGTGTACATTCAACAAATTATTACGCGTTACAATATTTTTACACTTTAGCGTGTCTATAGATTGTATTCCCCGATAGCAGTCAATTTGTTTTTCTGAAATATACTTAAAATTTCACTCTTTTCGATGAATGTAAAAAGATCATTGTATCGTTACTGCGTTAGTTTAGAAATAGAACATGTATCGTAGCACTTGGAACATTTGTTTACAAAATTTTAGCGATTGCATGTTACAATATCGAAGATAATCCCAAAAAACTAAACCCAAAAGCAGTTGTTGTTGTAATAAAGCTATTCGTTCGATATCGCCTGAAAAAGTAGCTTCGAAGCAACAACGAAGAACATAATAACATAAATTGCGGAGAATTTAGCAAAAATATTTAAGAAAAGACAATTTAAGTTCTGCAGAATTATTTACGAGATGAAGAACTGCAATAATTGTGTGTAGAGAATGTTAAGAGCTTAAACGAAGATTAAATAATATATGAAAGCTTATCGTTAGAAAAACGTAGCACATAAAATACTTTGTTAGGTTTAAAATTGACGTTTTATGTTGAAAATAAACTTCAAAGAGAGTGTTGTTTAAGAGTTTCCTGATTCTTATTATAAAAAGCTTGCAATAGTGTATGTTACAAAGTTTATTTGGGCGTATATCATAGAAATAATATAAATAAATCTAAACTGAACATACAAAGGGCAAAATATGATACTTAAGAGGATATCAAATGATGGTGCACCTTTTTTTTGTACTTCAATGCTTCTCTGTTGATGTTCCAAAGATTATAATATTACAGCGGGTCGAAAATGTTTAATAAGTGGTTTATTATGACCACAAACGTCAAACTTGCAACAAATTTTGTTCGGTTTAGTCCTTAGTGTGCCAAGATGGCATAGTGGACATTCTTCGCACAAGGATATCAATAAATTGTAACTTTTAACTGCAAAGGACGTTCATATCTTACAATTATTACTATCATTCTTCGTTTGTCGTGTACATGATCTAGGAAGGGAAAATAAGCAACAATAACTAACGGTGTTTCCAATAAATATGATAAAGATATGCGATAGAGAATGATACAAGTGCTTATCGTGTATTGAAAGAAAGAAACAAGTAGATAAGTAGTAATACGATGTGCAAAGATCGTGCAAAGACCATTTTTTATTGTACCGTAAGAAAAATTATAAGCAACGTGGTGTGCTGAAGGTTAAAGAAGAATAACATCAAAGTTAATCCTTTGACTTGATGTAAACGGAAACAATTAAATAGTAGTAATGTGCATACAAATGAACTACGTATTATAATACTCATTTAGGCGCGTTATATTAACGTTAACGTTATTTTAACCTATTCGCAAATACAGTTGCGTCTTTACGAATTACAAGTTTCGCTAAATCAACCTTAAAATGATCATCGATCGATAAAAAGGATCGTTTCGGTAAATATCATACAAAGTTTGAGAGAATTCGTGATTTTAATTATTAATTATTACAGTAAAGCTTCAATTAACCAGGTTAATCGGAAACGAGATAGAAGATATAAAATTAATGTTTATTTACAAGATTATCATTGTATACATATATATAAGTATATTTTCTTCATAAATATGAATGTAAGTTTGTTTATCGTGTTAACTTCGCACTTAAAAGTGCTTTGAAAATGATTTTGAATACTGTAAATAGAGGAGTGTTGTACAACGTGACAATCTAATTGTTGCAACAATTTTATATGGATTATTAACAATCAGTTAGCAGTAATAACAAAAGAAAGAGAAATAATCTTTTATGTAGATATTCGTTTAGAAGGTTCGGAAATTCATATTAATAGGAATTAATAAACAATTCTGTTCTGATAAACAATTTCCAAATATACCTTCGATACATTTTGCTTTCGAAAATAAGGTTTCGGCTCGAGAGAATGCGATGTGAGAAAAGTTAAAGGTAAAGTTAGGTTAGAATGTTACGATACATCGAATAATCGAATCGTAGAAAGGAACAAGTATTTTTTACAAGTATCAATTACAAGTATTTTTGGTGAAGAGACATACCCCTGAAATCCTACCCACTTTCGAGAAAAAAATTCGAGTAGATACTGAAATTTTTAGACGAAATTAAGAAATTCCAAATCGTACTAAAAAAAATTGTATTTAGTTACAGGGGTCAGTTACAAGCATTTTTGGTAATTAGACACACCCCCGGAATCTTATGCAGTTTCGTGAAAAAAATTCGAGAAAGTACTGAATGTTTTGGGTGAAATTAAAAAATTTCAAATCGTCCTGGAAAAAATATTTTCAATTGCAGGGGTCGGTTACAAGCATTTTTGGTCGAAAGACATACCCCCGAAATCCTACTCAGTTCTGAGAAAAAAATTCCTTACCGAAAATATAATTTCCAGCCGGAAAAGTCTGCCCGAATTTTCATGCGAATCTTTAAAATTTCATAACTTCTGAACGGATTGGCCGATTTTAATGTTTCAAAAACCAAACAACGCGTAATTTAGCGGAGAATATGTAGAAATTCTAACAATATTGAAAAAGTTGTTTCTTGACACCGTGAAATGAAAAAAAAACCCCCTAAAAATTGTCCAATTTTCAAACGGCCATAACACCTACAATAGTAAAGGTATCTCGTTGAAATTTTGTGAGGACGTAGAGCCCACGGGTAGCTACAAAAAAGTATTGGACAACTTTTCTGTAGAGCGTCAAACAAAATTACTATAAATCAAAAACGAATTTCTAAGAATAATCGTGAAGGAGGTGGATGCCTAACTAAAAAAAAAAATTCAAATCTTGCTGGAAAAAATATTTTCAATTGCAGGGGTCAATTATAATCATTTTTGGTCGAAAGACATACCCCCGAAATCCTACTCAGTTCTGAGAAAAAAATTCCTTACCGAAAATATAATTTCTAGGCGGAAAAGTCTGCCCGAATTTTCATGCGAATCTTTAAAATTTCATAACTTCTGAACGGATTGGCCGATTTTAATGTTTCAAAAACCAAACAACGCGTAATTTAGCGGAGAATATGTAGAAATTCTAACAATATTGAAAAAGTTGTTTCTTGACACCGTAAAATGAAAAAAAACACCCCCTAAAAATTGTCCAATTTTCAAACGGCCATAACTCCTACAATAGTAAAGGTATCTCGTTGAAATTTTGTGAGGACGTAGAGCCCACGGGTAGCTACAAAAAAGTATTGGACAACTTTTCTGTAGAGCGTCAAACAAAATTACTAAAAATCAAAAACGAGTTTCTAAGAATAATCGACAAGGAGGTGGATGCCTAACTAAAAAAAAAAATTCAAATCTTGCTGGAAAAAATATTTTCAATTGCAGGGGTCAATTATAATCATTTTTGGTCGAAAGACATACCCCCGAAATCCTACTCAGTTCTGAGAAAAAAATTCCTTACCGAAAATATAATTTCCAGCCGGAAAAGTCTGCCCAAATTTTCATGCGAATCTTTAAAATTTCATAACTTCTGAACGGATTGGCCGATGTTAATGTTTCAAAAACCAAACAACGCGTATTTTAGCGGAGAATATGTAGAAATTCTAACAATATTGAAAAAGTTGTTTCTTGACACCGTGAAATGAAAAAAAAACCCCCTAAAAATTGTCCAATTTTCAAACGGCCATAACACCTACAATAGTAAAGGTATCTCGTTGAAATTTTGTGAGGACGTAGAGCCCACGGGTAGCTACAAAAAAGTATTGGACAACTTTTCTGTAGAGCGTCAAACAAAATTACTATAAATCAAAAACGAATTTCTAAGAATAATCGACAAGGAGGTGGAT